AAAAAAAAAAAAAAAAAGAATAATGACTTACTAAGAATTTTTCTTTAAACAAAGCAAATTCCTCAAAAACCCGTCTCGAGAAGTCATTGAATGCTTCCTTCAGGGTCTGGACTTCACCAGTTAGTGTGTCGAGGCGGGTTATAACATAATCTTCATTGGTATGTTGCGGTGCGGAACTTGATGGATTATTTTTTCGGGTGAACTCATTTCTTTTTCTGAAGAATGAGTCCAACAAAAGATTTTATTTTTCAGCCTCGGTAGGAACTATGTTATTGAACTGTAGAAAGGAAAAAGAAAAAAATGTATTATTCCAGCAGATATATGATAAAAAAAATAAATAAATAAAAATAAAACATTATTATTTACCTTAGTGTGATCAAGGTTAGAAAAGGTTCTCTGAACAAAACTACGCGTACAAGGTTCACGAACTTCCCACTTGATAATCCTCGGGATATCGTGTACACCCACGTTGGTTGCGACTACACCATCAACCGTGTCACAAACCTCGTAAAAGCATGTCTGAAGAGCCAATATAAGACCATATAACCGATACAGGTTGCTTCCCTCGTCGTTATCAGATATGTGCATCTGCTCTCTAGTTTGAATTGATTTCTTCAGGTACTGTAGGGTAAATTGAAAGACAGCGGTTCCCCACAAGTAATCATCACACTCTGGACTGTCAATCGTGTCAACGAAACAGCGGTCTATGCGAAGGGCATCTTAAGAGCCCATGAGGAAATTTGCTAAGAAATGCAACTTAGCAAATTTCACAGCATCTTCATCGCTCGCCCACAATTTTTTCATAAACTGCCACCTGCTGTGGCTCCGAGTTAATTCAAGACCAGCAAATACTTGTCGTGCAGACCATTGGCAATCTTTGGAATGTTCAGTTTCTTACTAAGTCCAGTGCACTTTAAACCAGTCACGACAGCAAATTCCTCTATACCAAATCGGAGGAATTTCCCTCCGAAGTCGAACCAGATCCCATATGTCCTACCTTGATGAACCTCGCATAAAAGTATGTAGTTTACCAGCTGGTTCTGGACAATGCAATGTGGCAGATCAAGGAACTTCCCAAAAGCTGACATTCTAAAAGCTTCCAATTGCTCCTTCGTCAGCGTTTTCTTGATGCCACTTATCGTGCATTTCTCTTTGCTGTTGTCGTTACTGTTTTGCACCTTCACATTTATATCCCTTGGATGAGGGATCAGCAATTTCCACTCCTGAAAATAATCAAAACAAATAAATATAGATATTTTTATACACGATAATGTAGAATACTAACATATACTAATCATATTGTTCACAGATTGTTCCACAGATTAGTAGAATATACTTGTTCCCAACTTATTACTAGCATATAATTGTTCACGGAATCTAATGATGTTTTACACTTAAGTGAGTATATATATTGTATATGTCTGTGATAAATATACAGCATACTTGTCAAAAACAAATCCATATACTTGACATATAATAAGTCAAACCTATTCTGCTTATGAGTTTTACATGTCCTGTGAAATTATCAAGATTCATTCTTGGAGCAGAGGATGAAATTTAATATGGAAAAAATGGGAACACATACATATACCAAATATATACTCTGTTTTGCAAATTCTCATACATTCATCATCTGCTTAACAGTTTTGCAGAATGATTAATAAACTAATCACAGATATACACTCCATAGAGTATATGTTTGTTATATGTCTGATGTACATATATCACATAATTGTCAAAACTCATATCATATAATTGACTTATAAAAAAGGAACAACAATGGAATTACAACATTATAACTGGAAGATTGAAAGAATCTGCACACTAAAGAAAAGAAAAAAGCACACACTACAGTCATTTTCATCTAACAGTGTGACAAAAACATGACAAAATTACAACAAAAAAAGTCAAAAACATAAAAAAAAAAGCCATCAACTTAGGGCTACAGAACAAGATTATTTATTCAACGAACAATGTAATGACCATGACAAATTATTCATTAACAAAAACCAATTAACTGAAAAAAAAAATTACCTTAAACACTATCTGCTTCTGAAGACGTTGCACGCCGGGGTTTGGTTTTCTTCTTTTCTTGTTCAGATTAACTTCACCTTTCTCTTTTTGAATCCTTTTTTTGTTTCTCTTGTTGAAAATTTCCACCGGGGATTCCTCTTCGCTCGAATATTCTTCACTAGAGACGTCTTCTAGTTGAATTTCATCTTCGAAATCGGAGTTAAAAGAATTACCCTTCTCAGTGGAATTGGGGATTTTGGATTTAAGGTACCGCCGCATGTTTTTTGGATTTTACGGCCGTGGTCGGACTGGAAATCATCTGAATCAGAGGATGAAACTTGCTTCTTCATCCTTGCGTTGTCGGTGGACTTGCGATTAGGGTTAGGGTTCGTTTTTTTCTCAAATACAAGCTTCTTCTGAATGAGTTTTGGCTTTGATTTTGAAATGATATTCCGAAGCCGGGAACTTGACCTTATCTGCGGTGTTTCTTCGCCGTCGTTCGCCTTTTTTCTCCGAGGATCGCAGGCGATTTTGGTTTTCGCCATTGACGGGAGGTTTTTTTTTCCTTCTGCAAGATATTCTCGTTTCCCGAATTGTCGCGAGAGAATATGAAATGTCCTTATCGGTTTAATCATCATTAATTATCGGATATAACTGCAACACCATTAGTTTAGGTAAATTAGCAATATTTTATGATGTTTTTTGGTGATTGTATAATTATTTAACTAATGGTGGTAAATTTATAATATATTAGGGAAGAGGAAGTAGAGGATGCAATTTCGGATAATTCTTCTTAAATCCCCAATTCACAGTTCATCTTCCTTGTCAGTCCCCAATATTTTTCATTTTCCTCTTCACTCCCTAATAGATATTTCTCTTTCCTCTCAACTCCCCATATAAATACTAATATTATTATTGTTCATTTATTTTGCTTCAAAATCATAAAAAATTAGAAATCGTCGGTCTCTCTCTCTCTCTCTATCTCTCTCTGCGAAATCGCCTTCGTCTCTTTCTGTCTCTTTTTTTTTTTCCGTCGTCGTTCGTCTCCCTCTCTCTCTCTCTCTTTTCGTCGCCTCTCTCTTCTCTCTCGATTCGCCGTTCGTCTCTCTCTCCAGCGGGAAGCTTGGTGAGATTTTTTTTTTACAGAATATTTGATTCTAATGAACTCTAAATTTTGTGGATTTTTTTCAAAATTTTGATTTTTTTTTAAACATTGGGATTTGGTTAGGATTTGAGATTTTAATTGGTGCAGGTTAGGATTTTGGGTTGGGGTTCGAGTGCGTTGCTGTGGAATTGGGGATCGGGCAGTGCGAGATGGAGCGCTGCGAGTCATTGTTCGACAATTGAGAGGTTGTATGCCTGCGAGAATAAACTCTACCAGGAAGTTAAGGTATTTGATTGTGATTGTTGGTTTTTGATTTTTTTTTGGTAGAAGTTATGGTATTTGATTGTGATTGTTGGTTCTTTATCTTTTAATTTCTTGTGGAGTGACAAATTAATTACTTGAATGCTTTCTTGTAGAAAAATAGATATACGGTTACTCATGTTGTTTGACATTTTGTATATGTTAATTGACTGATCAGTATGAATATGTTGTGGTGAGTTGGGAAAAAAAAATGACATAAGTAGTAATATATAAAACGGGAACAATTGAGATGGGCTGTAGTTAAAATGAATCAGTCTTTTTTTTTTTGTGTGTGTGTGTGTGTGTGCAGGGAATCTGTATGAATTAGTTACTCACCTAATGATATAATACAACACAAAGAAAGCAACAAAATATGCCGCTAGTTTGCAGATCCGCTTATTTGATTTCTTTTCAAACACCTAAAAGAGAGCATAAACTGAGACTTGAGAAACAGAAATATAAACAAACAAGCTGATACAAATTTGGAGCATACAGTTAGATACCGTTTTAAAACGATCAATTGTTCCAGACATAAATGCATCTAATTTTATCTATAAATCAGTTTTCTATATGAATTTGTAAATCTGTTTCATTTGATCTGTATGAATATGTAAATCTGTAAAATGAATCAATTTTATATGTATGAATCTGTAAATATGTAAAATGAATCAGTTTTCTTTCTTTTTGTGCCAGGAATCTGTAAATCAGGCGATTGAAAATGGGAACTTTAGGTGGGCTGCAGCTAATAGAGGCGGAAACAGGTGTAGATGGAGAAAGAGAAAAAACCATAATGGGTAATTTAATTACAGAAACAGTAATCTCACTACTGGAACTTTAATTCATCAAAAGAAACAATTTTATTCGCGTTTTGTTTAGAAGTGCAAGTGACAAAAGTTTTTCGTGTTGTATTATATTTTGATATTTTGGATCGACTGAGTTTAGGTGCAAAGAAAAAGCAGTGAAGTGTTTTTTGTTTTGGGAAGAAACTTTTGCGTGTAAGGAAGTGGAGAATTTGGAATCACAAATGATGGTTGCTTTACAGGTGATCGAGACACCTCTGCCGAGATTATCAAATTGAGGGAATCAAAGCTTTATCCGCAGCTTCTTC